CCGGCTGCCAGCGCTAACGTATACAACTTTTAATGATATTTTAATATTTTTTGAATTTTTTTTCTTTTTTTTTTCTTTTTTTTCCCTCCCCTCCCTCTTCCTCTAGCCAGTCGCTGGACCGAAGACCGGCCAGAGGCCGGCGAGGTCGACCTCACCGACCTTTGGTGAGCCACACCAGCCACTGGCAAGGCTCGCCTAGCCCTCGCTAGAGGCTGGGAGGTCACAGCCTTCACCCTAGCGGCTTCTAGCGAGGGCTAGAGCCTCGTCGGCGGTTGGGCAAGGCTTTCCCGGCCCTCGCCAGTGGCCCCGAGGTCGCGGCCTTCGCCCTTGCGGCCACTGGTGAGGGCCGAGCCCTCGCTAGCGGCTAGGCGAGGCACGACCTCGCCGAATCTGGCGAGGTCGGGCCTCGCCCATGGCCGACGGGGCTTGAGCCTCGCCAACCCAGCGCGAGGCCCGACCTCACTAGATCTAGAGAGGTCGTGCCTCATTCAGCCGCTGGCAGAGGCCGCAAGGTCACGGCCACCCTCGCCAGCTGCCAACGGGCTCGCCGACCTTGGCCTCCAGCCGGTCGCCAATCTGGCGACCAACTGGAGGAAGAAGAAATGAAAAGAAAAAAGAAAAGAAAAGAAGAGAAAAAAATATTAAAAAATTCGAAAAATATTAAAATATTATTAAAAGTTGTTCATGTCATCACTGGCGGTGCCACGTAAGCCGGCCGGCATCCACGTTAGGAAAATCCGGTCAAAATTAGTCGAAATGATTGAATTGGCATAAAGACAAAAGGTTTAGGATTGAATTGACACCAAAAAAGGATTTATAACTAAATTGGCACCAATGCAAAAGGTTTAGGACTTTTCTGACACTATTCCCAAGAAAATGGTATCGATAATTTAGATGACTTTATCTTTCTCTTTAAATTGATGGCCAAAGTACTTGTATATATTATACTTAGAGGATGCAAAGTATAATTTTAAGAAAAGGTCAAGGATGGTCTTTTCATTGATGATGTAGACGATGACATTTATGTGATAATTTGGAACAGCAACATCTTGTAAGATAAAACTATATCCTATGATGTTCTTCATTGAAAAGATGTAGTCAATCATGTACAATTTATTGTTTTTAAAAGGTGTAGCCAGTCAATAATCACGGTCGACATTTCTTTTCAGCCTAAGATGAGAGCAATTTTAAACATATGAGGAGTAGAATAAGTCAAATACCCTGCAAACATCACGTTCAGCAAGACGGTTGCCCCAACAGCGATACCAGCGAGCTCTCCAATCTGCACCAATCATAAACATTAATTAAATTAACTTATCAGGGGAAGGGACATAAACAAAATAACAATATAGAAGTTCATATTTTAAAATCCTTTTGTAATTCAAAACCAAGGTGGCGAAAGATCATCTAATTTAACCGTAACGAATATTTAAATCGATTTTAGAAGAATCGGGTGCCAATTGTTTGGCGAGAAGTCCCATCAACCTGCATGTGATGAGCTCATTCAATATGCACCATCCTCCCTATCCCTATCATGACCATTTCCAACACAAATCAACACGCGTTAGCGTAATTATTGGGTTAACCGCGAAAGTGATATGAAGTTAACATTATGAATTTCATCGCACGATTAACAAAAATATAGCGTTTTCCAATGACATCGATTTGATGCGATCACAAAATCCAGATATGAAACTTGAAATTGAACCAGGCCACCTTTTATTAGACATTAAAAGTGGGTCGACCCTTTCCTTGTAAAAAGTGCTTTGCGTTGCCCTCTTTTGTTCAAGAATTAGGGGCCCTTTTGACACAAAAAGTGTTGTCGGAAAGGACGTTCACAAGGAAGCAGGAATGAACTTAAGGGTGGTTGGCTGGCAGGGGCCGCCGCCCTGCCGCATCTTGGTACAAAATGCCTTAATTATTTTCTATGTCCACAAGGATATCACATTATTTCTCTGTAATCTCTTACGATTTTATGATCCCGCCTCGTCTTTGAAGAGATTGCATTAAATTTTTCTTTCTGTACAGGAATTTCCATCGGAATTTCCCCAATTATCAACAAGTAATTTCAAGGAAAGAAGTCACGACTCACTGCTCTGTTGTCCGTGGCAACGCCGGAGATGATGAACATGAGGTAAAAAGTGATGATGAACTCAAAGACGAAGGCTTGCACATCCGAACCGGCCGGCTTAGTCCCTACAAAATGGTCGAGGTCGCCGGTGAATAGCAACCGCAGTGTCCCACTCGCCAGCGTCGATCCGACAACTTGTGCCAATATATATGGAGGCACCTACACGCCAAGAACAAAAGAGGAAGATTCAGCTCAGCAAAAAATTAATGGAAGAATCCTCCATCAATTGCCTAAATCAATGCTTTCCCGAGTCGAGATTTAGATAGAGAGCAGAGCTCAAGCAAAGCAAAATTGGCGTTTCATCCTCTGACACGGATAACAACATATTTTCAATGGGAAGATTGACTAAATTAGATTAGGCGTTATGACTTTGGAAGAGGTATGGTTGCACCTGTTTCCATGGAAACCTCCTGCAGGTGGCAAAAGCAATGGTGACGGCCGGGTTGAAATGGGCGCCGGAGATGTGTCCGACCGAGTACACCAACACCATCACCGCCAAACCCCACACTATCGATATCCCCGGGAGCGTCACCACCTTGTCGTAGTCCAAGTTCACCGCCACCGACCCGCAGCCCGCGAATATCAAGAAGTACGTCCCGAGGACCTCAGCCATCAGCTGCAACATTTTTCGAGAAATTCGGGATTTGTTTCGCACGTCGTTACAATATGTGCACCTCCAAAGATCGATGAACATCTAAGTGAATACGAAAAGAAAAAGAAAAGGACAGAGAGAAAACAGGAAGGGGGGGATTGGGGGGAAAAGAGGGTGGATGAAGATGAGAGAACACAAGCAACCTTTTGAATGAAGGGAAAAGAGAAGAGGGTGCTTTTAATCTCTTCCTTGGTGTTGGAGGTGTCTTTCGTTTCCAAGACTACTCCATGGTTTCCATTGCTCCCACTGATCTGATCTGCCATTTTGTGCTAGCATTTCAGAGAAAATACTCAAGATAAGGAGCAAATAACAGCTTTTCGAGATTTTGACAAGAAGGGGAAAGAAACCACTGATATGGGTTCGCTCCGTTTGGCATTTAAAAAGAAGCAGGCCCAATTTATACTTTGTACTAGAGAGACAGAGAGACAGAGGCGGATTAAGATTGTGTACGACAGTTTGAACTTCTTACGTGTAATGGTGTTTTTTTACAGCTAAAGACCGCGTTTAGTTGTCCTGATTCGGAAAAATTCATCGTATGCTTAGTGCAATCCAATATAGAATTAAAAATTAATTAAAATCTCAATTTGCCCAATACAATCTCTCGTAATATCTAAATCTCATTGCTTGAGCTCCCTCGTCAGGGTCGTCAAGCCTGCTATCTTTAGCTCCCTCCAATTCGTCTCCTTCGCAGCCGAAGAAGATAAAACGTAACGTTGAAAAAGATGACCTGTGAACCGACCAGGCATTGAGGGCCCGCTTCAACCACCATAGCTGAGATACAAGGAGGCACAAGCAACTAGGCTTCATGAAGACATCCTTTCAATGAGCAGGCCTGTTGGATTTTGCCAAAAGGGTTTAGACCAAAAAAAAAGGGTCTAAACTACTTCGATATGCCTATTTTGCATTATGGCTTTTCAGATTGGACCTTGATATGTTATTTGACCTTATCTTTAAACGAGAATGAATCTAAGGTTGGGCCATAATTAGCTGGTGCTTTTGATGGTAAGGAAATTAGATCCATGCTTTTACTAGCAAAAGATATTGGAGAGACTGCTTTTTTTTTTTTTCAGTGAGGGGACTAATAGGGCGAAAAAGACCCATTTGCAAGACGTACGATGGCAAATCTGTTATTTGCATTCTGTTTTGTTCCACGGTTATTCGGGATTTTCTAGTCTTGAAAGCCTTCTATGTACCCTTCGAGTATTATTTGGAGAAATGAATGGAATCTTTCGACCATTCAGTTCATTTTTTGTTAGCAAATTAAAATTAGGTTTAATGGTCTCTCGAGAAAAAGAAACTTTTCTTCTTTCTGTTTTTTTTTTTTTTTTTGTGTTCCTTTTTATCTAATAGATCTCTGTTTATTTTCATGTTAGCCATAAGTCCACCGGTCATGAGCTGCTACACCGTGACGCCTTCCTAGATTGGCCTTGGTCGTTTTATGTTGGCTTGATAAATCATCAGGGTCAGTGATTTTCACGCATATTCAATGTAGGTGTGAAGAATTTGACCAAAGGGAAAAGTTGCACGTGCATCGGTTTGTGTCTCTCCCTGTTTCTTTCAAAGGTGTCCTAAGCGAGTTTTTCAGTGATATTTGTAAAGCCGGCTCGACTTTTTTGTCTTGTAAGATCAACGATTATTGGGATAATTGTTCAAAAAGTCATAAATCTATTATACAGCAATCAATCCAGTCTAAAACATTTCAATAGTACCGATTTAATCCTAAACACTTTGACAATTTATCAATTTAGTCATAAACCTTTAGTCTTACATCTATTATTTAGATAATTAGCCGAAAGAACTATATTGGCAAATCATCAAGAGGTTTAAGTCTAAATTGACAAATCGTCAAAAGGTTTAAGTCTAAATTGGCATAATTGAAAGGTTTATGACTGAATTGGCCGTCGTACATTAAGTTTAGGACTTTTTGAACAATTTTTCTGACAATTATCGATCAACGGATTTCTTATTAATAACTTAAGATGATGAATAGCTCTTGTAGCATAGAAACAAAAAAGTTCCCATGTACGCCTGTGGTTTCGAAATTCACTTTTCAAGTTGTTAAAATTCAGATTAAGAAGCCCCAACATGATTAATCAAATCGAATCAGCATTCGCTTGTTGCAGTTTTTGCAGTTAGGTTCTTGAATTTTCTTTTTCTTGATTTTGATCAAGTTCTTTGGTCATTAACACACGCATATGCGACAGCCAGCGTGATGACTTGTAGTATTAAAATATTAAATATTGAGAAATTGTTTCGAAAAGCTAAATCTCAGTTCAATAACAATGAGACCGAAAAGTTGCCAAATAATGACAAAGGAACAAAAAAAAAATGGAGAAGAAAGATAAAGAGAGTTCAAAAATAATAATGTGATATAATCCGGAACTCAGGAGCAATCTCCACTCTTCAGACTATGCAATAAATCCAAGTATCCAGTATACTCAGGTTTGATGTACCTGCAACAACAATGAAAAGTATCAGCATGCCGGCTCTCAGACTCGCTACTAACACAAACACGATCCGCTTCCGAAAAACTAGTTCATGGTTATAGTCCCCTCTCTTCATGATGGAAATGCTACTGATGCAATATGACTACACTTAATTGAACTGGCAAAAAATTGAGGTTCCCTGACAAAGTTTCGTACAAAGAATGACATTTCGGGGTGAGTTTTGCCGACGGAATTCGCAGTCTAACTACGTGGTTGAATCCGGTTAAACCTGTAGCTTCCACTAAAAATGACTGCCTCAGAAAATGTCGTTCTGAAAGTACCATGAACTAAATCACTCAAATAGCTATTGAGCATACTGATCTAAGATATAATATCCATATTGCACTATCCACCACCACTATTTCTTTCTTTAGCTCCACGGAATGGCAGAGAAAGGCGAAGATGTTTCTTCCAGGAATCAGCTGTTGGAGCTTATATTGATTCAGCACAAAGCATAAAGGGTTTCAACAAGAAAACAAAATGCACCAACTAACGTAGACAGTGACCAAGCAAAAGGGACCTGCCAGTAATCTTTCCTATCGATTCATGCTTTCCTAATGTTTTCCAGATATGGAAGAACAGACCAGCGTCCTTCACTTTCTCCAGAAGGCATGTATTGTCTCCCCTTAAATACAGATGACTTCAGCGTTGGAAAAAGCACAACCACTGAGCAAAGGACCAGAATTCCAAAGAACCAGATAAATGGAGAAAAGTAATGAAGAGAATAAAAAGAGAAGCCCTTACCCATGTCGAAATAGAAAATCAGTGATGACTAGCGCGCAGTTAGGCTTGAAAAACTTGGTCCTCCTAATGACATTTGCAACTTGGGCCACAGGAATTAACTTGAAGCTCTCTACTTCTCCATCTATCATAGGATAGTAAAGAAAACCAGAGTATCAGAAACATGAGTCACTGTCATCATTCAAGTCCCGTCTGGTGGATGGGAGAGAGAAATGAAATTTACAAGCTCTTAAGGGAACCCAAGATTTACAGATCTTACCTTGATTATTTGGTTTAAAACCTTCAGGAAGTTTAAGATCATAACAGAACAAGACATCTCTCTTGTAGCTATATCCATCTATGTCCATGTAGGAAACAGCACCAACTGGTATTGCTCTACAATGACATCTCAGAAAGTTAATAAAGCCAATATATGCACCTCCACATATGGTACAGACGAAAGTATGGTGATAGATGTACAGTTCACAAAAATGTTACACTCACCTACCGACCCCAAAATATGTGGGGAGAGAGAGAGATTTTCATTGCACAAGAAGCTAGTTTCATTCTTATCTATGAGTTTAAGGTAACAAAAGGAATTATTGCCAAAATAAGAGCAATGCTGTGAGCCTCATCACTTACCTCCATTCTCATCGAAAACTTTACGCTAATAAAAATAAATTGCGCAACATTAACGGCAATACTGTGAGCCCCATTGCTTACCCACAGGAAATGATTCTTGGGATGCCTGCTTCTTCTTCACATTCCTTCATAAGATTCTCCCCACAAGCAAGATCATGAGGCTGCAGTCAACACGAAATTCGAATAAACTCGTATGGCGCACACGTGCAGTCAGTCAGTCATTCTAGTTGATGATTACAGTTGAGGGAATTGCATCCAGTCATTTTTTCAAAAAAAATGAATAAGGATACAACAAAGAAAGCCAAGCCACCAATAAATTGGTCTGTACTTTGGATTATTTTATCCACAATGTTGATCAACACTATCTGATAAGACAACAAGAAACAGACAAAAGCTGCGGTTCATTTTGCACCGACACTCCTAAGGGCTAATACTGAGATGAACATCACAGTATCAAAGTATTAAAGATTTCCAAATAGATCTCCCACTTATGGCTTCAGCACCAGCAAAAATAAGCAACAGAACAAACTTTAATTTTTCTACCAACACTTTTTACAGGGTTAACACAGAGATGAACATCAGAGTATTGAAGGATTAAAGACTTCCCACCTAAGGTTTTAACACCAGCAAAAGGGGAGAAAAGAACGAAACTGTTCTCAATTCTAGTCGACAGGTCTCAGTTTCACTCATAAAGACTCAATCTCACCCAAATTTATATAAGCCTAACTAGAATTTCTCTTGAACCAATGCAAATTGACTTACTATGTCAATACTTTCATCCATCAAATCCACATTGTTCAGACTTCAGACATTGAGATGGTACCAGAATCATTAATCTATTAGAAAATGACATTCCAAACTATTGAGATTGCTGCTGAAGGAAATTATTGCACAAGAGGGCTTTTTATAACCCAAACCACCTTCTGTAACAATTGCCATCATCTCCTTTATAGATTAGCAAAATCCGTGAATTGTTCTGAAGAACTTTTATTAAGCCTTAACTCCATTATAAGCCAATATTCTGCACCTAATTATATCTTGAAAGGATTATCAAGTCGGGTTAAGGATTCAAATCACTGAAAAATATCTCCCTTGCACATATTTGAGGGTGAAACTCAGAAGAACACCAATAGCTACTTCAAACAACCTAAGAGCATCGCCTACTTTAAAGCAATTATTTTTCCCTTCCGGTTACATGAGCATTCTAATGCTGTTTATCTTGTACCTGTGTCATACAAGTCGATATTGAGTAGTAGGACCATGCCATTCACGACTAATGGAATCTCACAATTCAGGTCTCGTTTTTAGCCAATAATTTTCCTCCACAAATGTATTAGTAAAAGAGTACTTCAATCAAGATACGTCCAGAGTTGTATCCAAATGTTCCCTTCTATGCAGGAAAGAATCAAGAGAAGCAATCAGCTACCCCTATATCTTCCAATACAGTGTAAGCCCAAACTAGCCATACCAGAACTTACAGCAACTCAAAAAGAGAAAAGCAGCATGGTTGAGACAGAGCCATCTCCATTTTTCAGAGTCATGAATTATCAAACTTCACTTGAATATCAGAAGCATATTAGCCGGCCAGACTATTACATAAGCGAAGGGAGTGCAGCTTCCTAGAAGAAAGGGAGGTAGTCCAATCAATACAGTAAACCATCATGGGCCTTTGGGATATAAACGTCTGGAATTTCAATTTCAGCTTTCTGGTGTGGTGCTAGCACTATACCCATAAAAGAGGACATTCCAGTAGACAAGGCTCCCCCAATGTGGGTTTGAGGAGGGCCGTTGTCAGACACAGAAAGAAAAATCTAAACCAACCCCACAACCACACAGAAAGAAGAAGAACCAAAAAACTCTATATGAGAATGGCTACAGAAACGTGATCTGGAAAGGGAAGCACTGGTGAAATTTTTTCAAGTTACATGTGATGACACAGAAATACCAATATATTCGTGCAGCTTCCATGAGGAAAAACATATGAACAACAAAAAGAGTTATCGACACGAACCAGTCCTCCTGCTACTAGATGATCAAGCATTCCCGGGTATGTTGGTTTGACTTGACTTCTCTTCCCGATCCAGAGATATTCCTGACCGTCCATTTCAACATAGCCATTCATGTGAACTCCATATGCCTACTACAGAAAAGAATTCCGGGTAACTAAAAAAGTGAGTTATTTTAAATGAGATACAATCACATTGTGGTTTATTTACCCTTCAGCACAAGCCAACACTTTTTTTCCGCGTCTAATATTCCCAGTTGAATGCTCACTATGGCAAAATCTTTTCGTCTTACTTTTAATGTTACCTAAGGCTGGAGTAGAGAGACATTATTGCTGAACTATTGCGTCCATAAGTTTGGTTGGTTAAGAAGGAATTGAATCGCAGTAAATATTGCAAGATCTCAGAGTATCTCAGTTCGAGCTTCTGCTGGGTTCCCTATGGTTTAAACCCCAAAAATTAGCAGCCATATATGGAATCATCTTCTTATATATAAACTGGATATTAAACATGTTCCAAGTAGCTCTTACAAAAGCTTTAAGAAGCCATTATGTTCTCCATCAAGTACCTCACCAAGGTTATGCGAAAAGCAAGACGATTACTCAAGGGAAAGGGAAGAGGAATTGCATTAACTTGATGTTTTACCAATCTTCTGAGTTCAAAAGCATTTGTGACACATTAGGGAATTCATTTGATCCAGATATTGTCCCAAAAATGGATCTCGATCAATACCTTTAGACTTTATGTTCACAAGGAACTGAGAATTTCATTTATACAGGTAAGGATTTTCATACACAACATAATAGAATAAAGCTACTAACTATTGGATCTGAGCTCTCAGTAAAGAATACTAATTTCATAGAGAAACTAGGCATAAGGGCATACTGCTATGGAAAGGAGAAAAGCGGACCTTGATTCCAAAATAAGGAGCCGCTGCACGTTCGAGAGAGAATATTATCGAACCTCCAAATGAAGATTTCACTGGATAGAGCTGGTCCGAACAAACGGAAGCACAGTAAGGAAAAGTAAACAAAAATCACATGGCCAAATCATCAGTTGCATCAGGACTATCATAATTCATAAGCAAGGGAAAGTGCTTCCTCAGAAAAAGGCATCTTTGGTCATATTCAACCCCATTTGCACCTGTTCAGGATGATAAGAAGGTAGCACACTATGCATAGTTCGATCGTGACCACAGGCAATACCTCATTTCTAATACCTGGAATCAGTTCTCGGCCTAAGCATTTCACTACGTGCGCCACCGCTTCGGTCCTATCCTCAGGTGTTTCCAGCGATGGATGTAAACTGACACGTCCACCAAAACGGCTACCATTAAAACCGTCTCGATCGAAAGTAAACACGTCGTCGAATCGCCCCAAATGATCAGCCAAACTGCACATATATTCCGAAAGGACAAATTAATTTAGCTATGCATTGAACTGGGGGAGCAAATAAATCTCTTAAAAGTCGTCCTTCATAACAGGCAAGACTCTTTCCATTGATCCAAGCGACCCAACAAATCGGGTTCACGCTCATTCAATTTTCCAAGATTAACACATTAACGCAGCGAGTTGGGTGAGAAAATCCTACCCATGATGGACATAACCGACAATCTGATCTTCGACGACGAACGGCAAGAAATCAGACAGCATCTCCTGCCAGAGTTCAAACAAAAGAAGAACCAAGAAAACGGAGCTTCAGTCCCTCTTGAACCCCGACCATCTCCAACAAGAACGGAGGAGGAGGAGACAGAAGAAACGCCGGAGCACCCACCGAGCCACGGTTGCAGAGCCTGATCTTCTCGACGAATCCGGCGAGGTCGGAGGAGTCGTCGTCGTCGGAGTACTGGGGACGGGAGGCTTGCAGGAAGTCGTCCCAAGTGAAGGTGCTTGCCGAGAACGAGGCGGATTGATGAGAAACGCATTTTGTGGAGCGGCGGAAGGGGAGGAGCGAGATGGGTCTGCTGAAGAGAGCGCGAGGGAGGAGGGGCGAGGGCAGGGACGCCATTGCCGGCGAGAGATGAGAAGCGCCAGCTGAAGCCATGGAGGGAGAGAGAGAGAGAGAGAGAGACTGCGAGCTGCGTCGAGGGAAAACTGAAGCAGCTTTTGAGTTTTGGGAAAGAAGAGGCAGTTGACTTTTCGAGGTCAAAATATTGGTGTTTGGTGAGCCCTCTTCTTTTTTTTCTTTTTTCCGATTTTGCCATCTAATATTACGTTGCAATAGTATCTTTTTAATATATTTGATTTGTGTAACTATGATCTTCTTGTAGCTCATATCATTATTGTTGACACCTACTTGAAGGGCGGTCGCGACAATTATATATTTTGCTATTTTTTTTAGATTGAGGAAAAATACCAAAAAAGTCTTAAATTTATTGCATTGGTATCAATTCAGTCTTAAACCTTTCAATTGGACCAATTTAGACATAAACATTTTCATATTTGTATCAATTCAGTCCATTCGATCAATTTAAACCGAAAATTGCTAATGTGGATATTTTCAATAATATTTTAATGATGTTTTGAATTTTTTTAATAATTTTTTTTTAAAAAAAGAGAAGGAAAAAAAGAAAGAAAATAGGGAAAGTTTTTTTTTAAAATTATTAAAAAGAATTCATAAATTATGGCTGTGTCATATAGGACGGCTAGTGTTCAAGTCGGCGATTTCCGACCTAAATTGGGAGGATAGACTGAATTGATATCAATGTGAAAAGATTTACGATTAAATTGATCTAATTGAAATATTAATGACTGAATTGGTACCAATATAATAAGTTTATGACTTTTTTTATACTTTTTCCTTTTTGGTTGAGGTGCTGCAGTGTTAAAAATTGGTCAACGATGCACAAAGTACAAATGCTAAAGAACGACAAATTATGGGAATTAGATGATTAAAGTTGGACTTAATCGCTAAATTTGGATTAAAAGCCATTTTCATCTTGTGATACAAAATTGGGTATCTAGTCTTTGAAGAGTGTTATTCACTTTGGTAATCATACTTTGAGAATGGATAAGCAGCATGCCATGGTATAGTGAGTTAGTGACCAATCAAAAGACCCTTGTTTAGGCATAATTTGATTTTCTGATCTATATAAGTAGCTTAATTTATGTGCATATGATAGTTCAATGTGCTGCTGCAAAGTATATCACTTGCATAATTTTATCCCCCCCCCCCCCCCCAAAAAAAAGTAGTCTTCATTTTAAAGAAATCTTTTACATTACGTGCTTATAATAAGAGGAACCTTTAGATGCTTTTTAGAGCGCCGTACCATTTCTGGAGTTTGGAGCCCATTCGATATAGTTGTCATTCAACCGTGACTGTGTTGTGCCATGAACTAACGTAAGTAGTATGTTTGGCAGTACTTGTTTGAAAAGTTTAGGTGAGGCAGTTTCTAAAAAGATGTTATAAGCTACTACGGTTTAGGAAGCGTTACATCTATGAGATTTAAAATTACAGTATGTTTTCTCATAGTTGAAGCATATGCGCAGAAGATTATTCTGAGACGGCCTCTCTAAATCTTATGAAAGTAGTCTCCTTTGAGCCAGAAAAGAGTTCCATAATACTTGGTGTGTTCATGACTATTTGTGTGGAGAGCCCCCTCATGCTACGAAAGCCTGTCAAAATCTTTCTAGTACTAGTCTTGAGTAATCATTTTTATTTCTTTTTTCCTATTTTGTTTGGCTTTCTATTGTCTTACATTCTTTTTTTTTTCTTGAAATAAGTGTATAGAAAATTTTAAAACTTGTCATGGAAATATAATTGAGTCATAAAACTTTCAGAAAGTGAAATCAAGTCATAGAATTTGTCGAATTTGTGCAATTTAGTTCTTTCCGTTAATTTTGTATAAATTGATTGATGGAAAATGATGACCTGATATTTTTTTAATGTATGTGGAGATATGTGGCGCCACGTTAGAAAATAATTCAAAAAAAAATTTACAAAAGAAAAAATAGCAAAAGCCTAGAAAAATTAAACAAAAAAAAATACAAAGGGGAAAGGGTCACGAAGAACAAGGATCACCCAACCCGGACCGGGGCAAGCTCGGCCTTCTTACGGCGGCGCACCATCACTACCACCGAAGCCCATCGGGACGGGCTGCGGCGACATCCGTGCTTCCCAAATGATAACCCTTCGGCTCATGGCACATGATCGAGAACCTGATCTTCATCGTACGAAGATATTTGAGTAAACAGACTTTCTTCGAGTTCAATATAGAGGTGAATAGACAAAGGAAAAATGAAAGAGTTTGAAACGGCGAGTTTCGTGCTCCAGCTCCCAACGAGGGAGAAGATGGAGAAGCTTCTTTGTCTCTAACCTCATCAAATTTGGATAATTTTTAGGGATAAATGCATCGAAAACTTCAAAACTTGTCATGAAAGTACAATTGAGTCAAAAAACTTTCGAAAAGTTCAATTGAGCCCCGAGACTTATCACGAAAGGGCAATCGAGTCCTAAAACTTTCAAAAAGTGTAACCAACTGAAGGACTTGATTGAACTAATTTGATAAATTTTAAGACTTGATTACATTTTTTGAAAGTTTTATGATTCAATTGCACTTTCATGGTAAGTTTTTATGACTTAATTACATTTTCGTGACAAGTTTTAGGACTTTCAATGCATTTATCCATCGTTTTTAAATCATTTGGCCTATTTTCTTACGTGGCACCATTGTATGCCGCATGTTTTGAAGTTACATGAAAAAATAAACATATCATCATTTGCCGTCTATCAAAATAGATGGAGGAACTTAATTCCACTAACTTAACAAGCTTCAAAATTTGATTTCACTTTTTGAAAGTTTTAACAATTTAATTGCACTTTCTCGATAAGTTTTAGAATTTTTGGTAAACTTATCTTTCAATACTAATGTAGTAAAGCCAATCTCAGTCAATGCTTAAAAGAAGTACCTGAATGACACTATTGAATTGACAATGATGACATCAAACGCAACATCATGCGATTTACTTTTGGATTAAAACCACAAAAAATCCCAAACTGATATATATGTGATAATTTTACTCCAAATTAATTTGTTGACCAGTGACCACAAAAAACCCCAAACTGATATACCCATGACAAATTTACCCTTAGTTTGTTTTCGTTAAATTTTACTATCGAATTGCTTTGTTAAATAATACGCGACGGTTAATTGATGGACCAGTTTTATGTTTTACCCTTCGTTTGTCACAAGTATATCGGTTTGTGATTATTTGTGGTATTAATCCAATTTAATGGATACCAACGGAAGGTGAATTTGTCACAAATGTATCGGTTTTGAGTTTTTTGTGGTTAAAATATTAGTTTGGGATAAATTTGTCACAAGTGTACCGGTTTGGGATTTTTTTTTATCATAAAATTAGTTTGAGGTAAAATTATCATATGTGTACTAATTTAAAGTTTTTCGTGATATTAACTTTTTACTTTTCAATCTCACGCCAATATATTAAGGACACGTGAAACATGCTCAAACCTTTTTAAGCGCACTTGGATCCCTCCAACTCCAGGGGAGACAACAAGAAAACATTGATTGGTAGAAACGAAAGGAATGAGTCATAAAAAGAACAATTTTTACGTGCTCTTATAGCGTTAGGCGGTTCTCCACTCAAATGGTTCACCAACGCAAAAGCATGATGCAATTCTTATTTTGCTTAAAAAATTAATAATTTCATAAGATTTATAGCCATTTCATCTAATTTTCTCCGCGATAACTTCGACCATGAAAATACATGTTGTAATTTTTCATAAGATGTTTGACAAAAATCTCTTAGACGTAACACTTCCAAACCTGCGGTAGATTATAGCAGTACGAAACTATTTCACCTAACTTTAAGGAGAGGCAACCTTTCAAACATGAACTACCAAACATAGCCGTTACAATACTTCAAAACACAACACAATTACAGCCGAACGGCACCTAACAATCGAGCTCCATACTCCATGAGTAGCATGATGCTCTAAAAAGCATATGAAAATTCCTCTTATTCTATATACATGCTTTTACATTCTAAATTAGGAAGTTGTTTTCTTTATTTTTAAATTTTAATTATTTTAATTGATTGAAGGCATTTTTCTTTCACCCCCTTAAAAATTGGAAGAAAAATTATTTTCTGATAAAAATATTTCCCGCCAAATAAGCGTACACGAAAAGTTAACTGCTTTTCTCTCTCCCTGGCTTCAGCTTGCACTTCTCATCCCTTACAGGAAATGGCTTCTCTGCACTCGCCCCTCCATTCTCACGCTTTTTTCAACAGAGCAATCCCCCTCCTCCCATTTCGCAGCTCGACAAGCTGCGAGTCTCGTCGATTCGCATCGATTTCCACGAGCAGCTTCACTTGGGACAACGTCCTTCGAGTCTGTTACCGCGTATACCCCAACAACGACTCCTCTGACCTTGCCGGATTCTTGGAGAAGATCAGGCTCTGCAGTCGTGGCTCGGTTGGTGCTCTAATGTTCTGTTTCTCTTCCATCTTTGTCGGAGCTACTCGTCATTCTAGAGGAACCGAAGCTCCCTTCTTGATCTTAGTTTTTAAAATCTCGCAGGAAATGCAGTCTGATTTCTTGCCATTGGTCGTCGAAGATCGGATTGCTGGTTATGTCCACCATGGGTAGAATTTTCTCACCTAAGCCACTATGTAACTTGTTAATCCTGAAAAATTGGATGAATGCCCCCAATTTTGTTAGCTCTGCTTAGATTAATCAATAGTCTAGTCTGTTATGCGCGGTACTCAACGTATGCAGGACGACTTTCAAGAGATTAATTTGCTCCCCCAATTCGACGGACCGTTGGTTTAATTTGTTCTTTGCAACATATATGCAGTTTTGCTGATCATTTGAGGCAATTCGACAATGTGTTTACTTTTGATCGAGACAGCTTTAATGGTAGCCGTTTTGGTAAACATGTTGGTCTACGTCCGTTGCTGAAAACACCTGAGGATAGGAAGCAGTGGCGCGTGTAGTGAAATGGTTAGGCCCAGAACTGGTTCCAGGTATTAGACATCAGGTATCGCCTGTGGCTGCAATCTAACGCGCAGTGTACTGCCTTCTTATAGTCCTGAACAAGTGCAAATGGGGTCGAATGTGATCAAAGATGTCTTTTGCTGAGGAAGCACTTTGCGTTGCTTAT